AGTTAATTAAAACACACTTTCATAAGCTTATAAATCAAATAAACTAAAGATTACGTGTACATGTACAGTTGAGTTGGCATCAAGTTAACTTGATGGTTAAGTCCTAATCAAACGTCGTTAAACAATAAACTTCTTGGTAATTTTTAACCTTTAGGTAACCACACATTGTGAAAATAGGTCTTACAGTTTATATAATCAGGTTAAAGTAGTATATAATAAAAGTGACTATTACAAAAAATAAATTCAACAAACTTCATGATCTATTAACGTTTCCGGGAGAGAAGAAATGATCTTCCTCACATAAAATTTCAAAAACTGATTTCCTCTCATTAAATGTAGAATTAGAGTCTGGTTTCCGTGCATATTTTAAGACGTGCCAGTCTCCGACATTTCCACCGCTATTTCAATAAACTCAGGTTTAATGATTTTTCGGGAAAACCGGCGCGTGGCGTTCCGACGCGTTCTCGCGCGAAGTCGAACGCGGAAAATCGCGGATTTTCGCGGATCGCCGAGCGTCAGGCACCCCCGAGAGCCTCACACCTGGCGTCAGATCTTAAAGATCGTCGAAATTTTGCGGATCGCGCGCGGGGCGGTCCCAGCATACCGAGCCCGAAACGAAGAGCCGTCGGTCGTGCCGCGTCAGGCATTTCGGATAGTATCGACGATCGAAATTTATGGCACGCTCAGAATTGGGCCGCCGCCGCCGCCGCCGCATCGATCGGCACCGGCTGCCACCGCCGCCGCCGTCGCGCGATTTACATGCGTAATGCTATCGTGTCGGTGTCGCGGTATCGGTACCGGTGACGGTACCGGTATCGGTATCGCACGGTGTCATACACCGCCGGACGTCTCGACGCTGAGAGACATCGAAACTCGAAACGGTGAGATGAGATCGGGTATATAAACAAATCGTTCTTACGATTTTGTGTGTGTATGTGTGTGTGACTGCTCATACAGTCGTAACAAATCCGTTCATTTCATGACCAACCGTTTCATTTCGATCGAGAAACACAGTGCTCGCTCTTTGAATTATTTATTAACTGAATTACGCAGCATAGTTTATACATTAGCTGCACGCATAATTCATTGTTATTGAATTCGTTATTATGATTACGTTAGCTTGAAAATTAACTAATATTTTTTTCTCTGTGGGTTTTGAACTGAAAAAGGCGGAGGTATAAAAAAAGAGGTTGCTAATTGCGTTATTAATTTGCGTTGTTCGGCAGTGTGTTAATAATAAAATCTTTATTTGATTAAATACATGGGAATATCGTGTCCTTGGCAGGAAAATATTTAAAATTATAATAAAGAGTAACGCGCGACAGAGGGTAAATGTCAATGCACGAACGTGTATTTGACGTGTACTCCCATACAAAAATATGTGGGTCTGGATAGTTAAGCTATTGTTAAAAAAACGCGAAAAGAGAGACGGAGAGAGAAGGTGAAGTGTGATAAAAAATGACTGACGGTTTTTTTTCTTTTTCACACGACGGTCAGCTCTTCGCGACGTTGCCCGACAGCCAAACGGTCGATAAACCGAGCTAAATTAGCAAATTCGGAATTTCGTCGCGGGACATAGGCTCGTATAGTCGTTGTATATAATTGGCAAGTCGATGGCGATTGACTGCCAATGTGCTCGCGACAGGTTATAAACGTCGCGCGCAGCGACGATATCGAACCTGCTCAATTCAATTACAGTCTCTCAACATTTCGGTCTCTCTCTCTCCCTCCCTCCCTCCCACCTTTCTCCTTTCCTCTCGCGCGAGCTCCGAATTACGGAGCGTGGCGGTTTCGCCGTTCGCATGGTGGTAACAAAATCGCGCGAGAGCGAAACGAGAGAGTCTATACGGCAGCGACGGGGATGATCGCCTTACCTGCGGATACATTCGTCTTTCTTTCTCGCTCTCTCTCTCTCTCTTTCTCTCTCTTTGTTTGGGGGTAGAAGGATGCAGGGGAGGAGAAGGCGCGAATCTCTCCGTTCCCGAGGCAGGCGTGAGTCGCACCGTCCAGACTGGCGCCCCCGCGACGATAGCTAAACGATCACTACGAGCCAGGAAGCGGCGGCGACATAATAGCCTGACGACGGCGCGGGGGTGAGTGGCGACGTGAGTGGAGACGAGCCGGTAGGCCAGCCAGCCGCGCACCAACTGCAAAAGTCGTGCGGAAGCGGCGGCGGTGGCGGCGGGCGTCCTCGCGACGTCGCGCCTCGCCTGATTATGCCGCTGCCACTGGCCGGCGGCGCGATCGATACGCGCGCGCGCGCGACCGCGAGCCGCCCCCGTCTTGCCGGGTGGCGGTCTCGGCCGGCGGTGATCGGTAACCGGACGATGCGCGCACATTCATCTCGCGCGTCGCTAATTACCAACAGCGACGCGAGAGCGTTCAGAGCAGGGTTGTGCATCTACGCGTAAAATATGATACTCTACGTTTACGTGTAAACAACGTAAACTATTGTAAAAGTGTCATCAATGTAGACAGTCAGTAGACTATATATTTATTCATTTAATAA